ACCACAATTTAAATGTAAAAATTGATGAAACTATCCAAGCAGACAAATACTTCCAAACACCATTCGTAAAAGTCCGAATTCAAGCCGGACCGGTTTGTGAAGCACTGGAAGATAATGAAGCCGAAGTTTGTGGGATCTCGCAGTGCCTATGTCAGAAGCTGGAACTTTTCCGAACAGAACGGATGAGGATCAAGGGATGGAATGGACAAACCACTGAGGTTGATGGTGCATGGGTGATGTTGACTCCCAACCATGATAAAGGGAAAAACATTGCACCTGCTGTCCGGATGTGGTGTGCGGTGATTCCTGGCGGCAACGGTCAATTAATTATCACACTAAAAGTGGTAGATTTGTTGAACATGGCGGAACAGTATATGGTACCTGCTATAAAACTTAGAATCACAAAAGACAACGCCTTAATAAAGATTGCCGATGACAGGGCACTGACGTTTTACAATATTGATGATCCAAAGTTAAAATGCCTAGAGAGGGGTGAACAGCCAGGTAAATGTGATGTCGGAGATGCTACTGATGATGAAGAGGGCGGTTATGTTAGCAACAAAAATAATCAGGATAATTCTAATAAAGCAACAGATAACTAAGAATAGTAATGATAATAATGAGGTTAGTAATAAGAATAATAATAGTGTCTGCGATGTTGATGAAGAGGAGGATGAAATTAATAATGATGTTAGGATTCAAACTGATGAAGATGAAGAATTGTCTACGTTAATAATGATAGTAACAGTACTGGTAATAATAACAATAATGTTGGTGTTGTTAAAGGTGATGTTGGCGCAGGCCAGTTAAATGACTAGTGGGATGAAGAAGAAGACGACAAAGCTAATAATGTTAAGACACCGTATTTGATAAAGCTGGAAAGGCTAATGATAATGATAATAATGTTGGTGTAGGTCTGGGAGTTGGTAGCAGCGGGTAAACGTTATGTCATGGGTACATGTAACATTGATGTCAGTGAGGTCGGTAAGCATGATGGCAGGGGTGCAAGTGAACATGATGGTAGGGGTGCAAGTAAAGGGCATGTCAGTGGTACAAGTAAACTTGGTGTCTGCGGAGTGGGCAAGTACGATAGTTACAGTGCTGGTAAACCAGATAATGTTAATAATAATAATCATAATAATGTGGATGTGATGAAGCTAAAGGTTGGCAAGGAAGAAGATTATGATGAAGAAGATGGGTCTGTTAATAATGTTAATAGTATTAATACTAGTAATAATGTTGGCCAGGAAGAGGAGGATGCAGAAAAGGATAAACTGTAACATCACAAAACTCTGCTCAGTTGGCAACATGAAACGTTGGAGATCTCAACTGAAGAATCGAAGATCAAATTTGACTTTAAAATTACAAAAGGTGACCAAGAATTACAAACTCGTTTAAACAAATAGAAAAGTTGGAAAAACAGCACGAGAAATTATTTGATGAAATAAATAAGAAGAAGCAGACGTATATAACAAATTAGGCACGAAAATGACGAAAACTTTTATTCAGGAGACTGAGGATAAAATAAAAATATTGAAAGAAGAAACGCAGTTGATGTCTGAGGTGGCAAACAAGCTCAAAGAGCTGTCAGATAAAGAGAACGATATAAAAATCAGAAGAACGAGTTGAAAATGAACGAAGGAAGGTTGGTCGAAAAGCAAAAATTGCTGAAATCGTTGGAGCATGAAGAAAATGATAATGCAAATAACGGAGAAGACAGAAGCGACGAAGGGAGAAAACACGTAAGCAGGAGTGAATATTCCTCCCCTAGGAATATTCAACATTTGGGGAGAGGTATGTCAGGGATCGAGGTTTGATAATTAATAGCCGATCGAAATGCGCTTTAGAAATGCGCATGGCTATTCAAGTTCAAATTATCTTTGCGAGAGCTGCTTTTGTAGACAACCAAGTTTGTAGTTTAACTGAACCGAGGGCGAAAGTCCATGAAATATATCAACAGGCAAGTCAGCACTTCGAAGATTTTTAAAACAAATTGTAGATTGGATACAGGTCTATAATTATCGTTCTCGTTTCATTTCCATTATTAGCAATGGTGATAATGGCTGACTTTAGACCCCGTGAAAATTTTCCAGTTTTGAATGATAAATTTATCCAGAAAAAATGGCAGCAAACAATCTATAAATTTTATCAAAACTTGAGGAATCGGATCCTAAGCGCATACTCAAAGACGCACCAAAGGCGGCCGCCCCGGACGCCGGGGCGCCAAAATGGGTATAAAAATACTAATTAAACTTAAAAAATTCATTGTTACATTATTTTATAAAATTTTATTTTAATGAATTTGTTCATTAGGAAACCTTTTTAGAAACTTATCTATCTAACCACATTCCAACAATTTCACAAGTCAATCAATTATAAATTTGTAAAGTTTGTCTTTTAGTGATATTCAAACTTTCTTTCAACTAAATCGATAATGTAATAAACGCCGGTGTCAAATAATTTTTGCAAATACAGAAGTTTTTATGAAACTAATATAAGTCTATGAAGCAATGGCTTTTAAAAAAACAATACTACATCCTGAGCGTCAAGCGTATCCCTGAGATATCTATGAAGAAACTTAAAAATTTTTGTAGGCAGAGACGTGAGCACTTATTTAACAAGTATGTATGTTAGGTTAGTTTTTGAAGGACAAACACGTTATACATAAATATTATTGCTCGGGAAGTAGTGCCAAAAATATTTTGCAGCTTTTACTAACAAAATAAATTTTCCCACTCCCAGTATTTAAAAAAATTAAACCATGTTAAAAACAAGAAATTAAATGGAGCTCAACAACGGAAAGCGAAAACTAGAAGTATATTGAAAAATTCTTAAAACTGAAAGAGCAGAAGATAATTCCAGTGATGATGATTCTGATATGGTGATGATTGATGAGTTAAGGCAAGAAACAAAAACAATAATTGATCCACCAGAATGCAATGAGCTTGTGAAAGATTGATGACTTTTATTTCATACGGTAATGATAATGTTATGACCGACCCCTTGAACATGTAGAGTACAGTTATTTCTCTCTACGCAGATTCCCGACTCCTGAACAGACATATTTCAGATGAACTTTATTAGAAAAAAAACAGTGCTGGCAATGACTTGTGTGTATCGGTGTGACCAATCACTCGTTTAGTCAATCTTTAAAATCGTTAGAATACAGCATAATAACTAATTGACAGGTAACTTACGGAATAAAACCAATCGTCAATAATTAAGCTTCTCTTGCTAATTATAAGACTAATTATATTAAGTTGTTCCAGCTTGGTCTTTTTTCTGCAGTGGGTTTCCAACTATAAAAAATCTTGCTTCTGACGCCAGTGTTGTAATCTCCTCGACCTCGTAACAACCAACACCTATGTTATAACTTTAATAATTTTTTTTATCTCCAACACCGTGTTGTAGCTTCCAACGATAGTCAATAGTTTGTTTATCCGTAGGTTCAAGATTTCCGATGAATAAACACAACTACTTTAAACGCAAACTAAGTTGGACGTTTATTTAATACCATAATTAATAGAAACAATAGATTAATCCAAATAACTACGTAAATCACATTTACGACTTCGCATCGAATCTCACTTCTGCGTCAACTGTGTTCCGTCTTCTTTTTCTCTTGTTCCCTTCTTTTTTTCGTTCTTCTTTTTCGTTGTTTATCTGGGTATCTGGGACCTCTTCTTTTTGTATAGCTACCAATGCCAAATAAACATGTCACGTCCATAAATGAATTTACAACCTTTTAATTACTTTACAACCTTCTAATTAATTTACAAGTGGTTCATTCCTCAATGCATGCTTAATAATTTCTAACTATTAGTTTTTATCTCGATTTCACGTCTTTAACAATGTATTTCCAAATCTGCTAATTGCTTTTCAAATTATGCTGACCATTTCTGTTTCAGTTGCAAGCTGTAACAAACTGCAAACTAAGACTTATTTCTGCGTATCTAAAAGTACATATGAGACAAGATCGTTTATCTGATTGAGTATTTCTAATCATAGAAAACGGACTAGTTGAAACAATTGATTTTGATGATGTCATTGACAGATTTGCAAGTGCAAAATTAAGAAAAGTTTTTTGGTAAAAAAAAACTGCTGTCGCTACAGACTGTTTACTAAATTTATTTGAATTTTTGTATGTATTTTGTATATTAAATTTTTATTGTGTTGTTTACTGTTTTTATGGTTAAATAAAAAAATTTGACTTTTTATAATTTTGTAAATATGGATTCTAAATATTATTATTGGTTGGGGGCGCCAACAGGGTTACCTGCTCCGGGCGTCAGACACTCTCGGTACGTCACTGAGCACACTGTTGATTTAGATTTAACTTCCTCCAGGAATTTGTCACACTAATTTGACTACATGCTCTAGATGTGTGACGTTTTTTCTCGTTATTGGATAAAATCTCAAACAAATCAGCAGCGGTCAAAGATTAACTCTTGGTTGATTGTTTCTTGTCTCTAAACAGACGATTTGATAAACTATTATATTTGTAAAAAATGTTGTAAACCATAATGAAATTAATAATTTTTATAAGTTTTAAAAGTATTGAATATTTATAAATAAAACAATCTAGTTTTTTTCACTCTTAAATTAAATATATCTAATATTTCTAAACACACCTTTATTATTAAAATTTTTTTCAAACAATACAATTAATAAAATAGATATTACGTGATTTCCAAAAAAATTTTATTATTTTAAAATATTCAAATAAAATATGTTAGTTAATGAGTAACCTGTTAATGATGAAAAAATACAAATGTAGTGTCTAACAAAATAAATATCTAGGCAAAAAAATATTTCATTCCACCCATTATGTTTATTTACAAACGTGATTTGTACAAAACATGTTACATTAATCAAACAATTTGTTTATCAAGTCAATTTTATTTACTAAAACAATATATTAAATGATACACAAATCATTTTATTCCATGTTAAATTAGATTATATTATTTTTTTACGCTATTTTTAACTGCATTTTGCAGAATCGTATGTGGAGGAAGTCCAGAACACCAACAACAAATGAACAATGTCCAGGAATTGATATAAATAGAAACTTTGATTTCAAATGGATGAGTTAGTTTTATTACATATCAATCAATCAATTAATCAATCAATCAATCAATCGATCAATCAATCAACCAACCAATCAATCAGTTTTTCTTAGTTTATCGTTACGATATTTCATGTTTGTCAATCTTTATTTTTTGCTCTCAGAGACGATGAGCCGCAAATATTTTATCCAATTTTTGGAGAAATTTAATTTAGCTTAAGAGTTCAAATGATTTTGTTAAAATAATTTTGAAGAAAGCATTGTAATATATATATGTGGTTTTGAAAATTTTAAAAATTTGGATGTGTCCTTATACTTTTAACAACTTTTAAGTTGCCCTGTGAAAGTGGATCTATTGAACTTTGTTTATCGTTTCTCTTTAAACCGTTTGCGTTTATTTTTCGCTTAGAAAAACATTTCATTACGCCATCGAATGATTATGTGCTTAATTTTTATGACTGATAGTGACAAAGAAGAATATGATGCTATCGATGAAGAAAAGGAGACCAAAGAAGATGACCAGCAATAAAGAAACCTGACACCTAATTTCCATCTAAGTTCATTTTGACAAAGTCAATATTTCCCTATATAAACATCAAAAAGCACTGATGATGATTCATTCGGAATCGAAATATGGCCTTATTTGCAGCATGAATTCGAAAAATAAGTTTATTTTGAATTTTAATAAACTAAACGTTCACCAAAAAACTTTAGTGAGAAAAATTGAAAAAACGAACTACAAACATATTAACGCCAAACATTCGGAAGAATTTATAGAATATTGTAGAAATTATGGTCTATTACCAACATATATATATATATATATATATATATATATATATATATATATATATATATATATATATATATATATATTATCTGTAAACACTTGCCATACATGAACATGAACAATGGCTGGTCGGTCGGTTGTTGCTAGTGAATTTTTGTGCTTTTTGACAAATAATTGGAATAATTTCGATAACGAAACTTTTATTTTGAATGTAGTGGATTTCTATTATGTCGACGAAGTTACTGCTGCAATTAAAATTTTGAAAAATGATTTGGAATTGTTAAAAATTAAAGAATTGCAATCAGAATCAGTGGATAAGTTTCAATTTCGCGGAATAAATAAAAAAGACAAAATTTTAGAATGTGTTGAATTGCTAAAAATTTTGAGGTTAGAAGGTTTTATTGATAAATGTTCAATATATTCAGCTGTTAATTTGTTGAGGATACCAAATATTACTAACTGGCTGAATTTTAGTTTTCAAAAGATCAAAAATGAAATCGAAGCCATGTTTAGTGTACAACAGACAGCCATAATAGAAGCGTTAAATACGAAACATACCGGCTTGCTGGACAACATACGCTCTATTGTCTCCAATCATACGACAACGTTGCAGGACATAGAAAAGGCTTTTACAACAAGCACTATACCATTGAATAAATCTGAAATGTCTACAGCTTTAAGTGACGTATTGAAAACAAATTTATCAACCAATGCCACAAATAAAACTTCAACTACAAATTCATGGGCAGATAAAAGTAAACATTTGGCTTTTAATTTTAATAAAAATAATAATAATATTAAAAAATCCATGAATGAATCCAACGATGAATTAGACGTCGATGGCTTTCAACTTGTTCAGAAAGTCAAGTAAAAAGAAAGTCAGATGATTCTCCTCTAGTTCTTCAAAAAATAAACAACAAAATAGAATCTAAAAAATCTAACAAAGTATTTGGCACTGGTACGAACTGTCTCTTGAAAGCATCTGAAGTTATAGAGAAAAAAATTGTTTATTATTTAGGTAATGTTGACTCGTGCAAAAAAGATGTCATTGAAAACCATCTAAAAACAAATAACATAATCTTCAACAAATGTTTCCCAGAGTCTTGCGAAAAAGAAACCTTTTAAACAATCCTCCAGATAATCATCCAGACAACCCCGCGGTAGATCAAAACCCATTAGTCGAGTCTACGGCATTTAAAATAATTCTGCCAATCAGCCAGTTATCCAAATTCACCAATCCTGATATATGGCCACAATACACATTTTTGCGCGAATGGGATTCACAGAAGAACAGCAGAAGATAAAGTTGTCCAATCCAAAATCGAGAATCATGGTGGCGCCAAATAATTTTATATGCAAATCAATGCATAACGAAACGAAATACTACTCTGAAAATAATATATCAGATTTGTTATCACTATCTGATTGTAGTCTATCTTCATCAGCTTTATCAATCGTGCATGTAAATGCTCGTAGCTTATGCCATAAAATCACGTCCCTTCAAATGCTTATAGACGGATTTAATAACATTCCTAGTTTAATAGTCATCAATGAAACCTGGCTGAATGAAGCTTCTGCAGCATTGATTAGATTAGAAGGTTTAAAATTTGTTTTTAAAAATAGAATGACTGGCTTAGGTGGGGGAGTTTGCATGTTTATAAGAACTGACTTAGATTTTTGTGTGTGTGATGATAGAGTGTTTGATGATGATGTTATTGACATGCTGTGCATTAATATAAAGTCTAAACAATGTAATAATATAGGCCACCTAATACAAAATTTGATCACTTTTTTGATAAATTAGAAATTACACTTAACGCTTTAAGGCAGAATCATCGAACGTATTTTGTTGGAGATTTCAATGTCGATATCACTGCCCAACAGTGTTTTTGTATCTGAACCAAAATTAGTTGTTTCTTATGTATTTCCACCTGCTGAATCCGAAAATGACATTAAAAATTACATATTAGCTCTAGTTCAAAAGATAAAAGCAAAACTCTATCCTCAAGAGTATAAATTTTCATTTTTTGGAAAAATTTTTTCATCTTTTTTTATTTTGCCTCTTGGCTATCTATAATGCTTTATTTATGGAGGCACAAATGAAATAGAAGAAGGAAAAGAAAGCCAGCCTTCCACATCAAATGATTCTGATTTTGTGTCAACAGATGATGCACCACACAGATGGAGTTAAGCAGAATTAAGTGACCTCGTTCGAGATCTTGACTTGTCACTGGGAATGGCAGAACTTTTAGGGTCTAGATTAAAACAGTGGAATCTTCTCCAATCTGATGTTAAAGTTTCCTATTTCAAAAAACGGCAACAAAATCTTCTTCGTTTTTTTGAGAAGAAAAATAACCTTGTTGTTTGCGTTGATGTCTATGGATTAATGTATTGTCTCAATTTGAATTATGATCCAAGTGAATAGAGATTATTCATAGATTCATCAAAGCTAAGCTTGAAAGCTGTATTACTGCACAATGGAAATCATTTTCTATCAGTTCCTATTGGCCATGCAGCTCACATGAAAGAAATTTACCTAAATATGAAAACTCTTCTTAACTCAATTACAACGAACACAAATGGAAAATTTGTGGTGACCTAAAAGTATTCCTAAAAGTATTGCCACACTTTTAGAAATGCAATTAGGCTATACTAAATACTGCTGCTTCTTGTGTATGTGGGACATAGAGACAAAATTACATATTACACACAAAAGGACTGGCCTGCAAAAAATCTCAACAAAGGTGAAAAAATTTTGTTGATGAAAGATGA